GCACCCTAAGGAGACTAAGACAAGAGTAGTACTGAGAGAACTTTCCTGTAGCTGTCCACTAATTGGAGAGACATATTTAAACATGTTTTGTTTGGAATAAGCCCATGCATGTATGTAGGAATATTTTCAGACTTACCCTGGTATAATCCCACCAGCAGTGGAGCAGGTCCAATCTCTCCACAACCTTGCTAGCATTTGTTGTTTTCTGTTCTTTTGATCAGTGCCATTTTTGCAAGGGTGAGATGATGTTTCACTGTTGTTTTGATGTGCACGTCTCTAATGGCTTATGATTGCAAATATCTTTTCCTGTGTTTGTTGGCTGCTTGAATGTTCTTTTTGGTGAAGTGTCTGTTCATGTCCTTTGCTCATTTTCTAATTTTGATGAACATAGATATTTAATTTTTAGGAGGTCCTAGTTATCTAATTTGTCTTCTGTTGTTCGTGTATTTGTAGGTGTGTTTGATAATCTATTTCTGAAGAAAATAAGGTCCCATAGTTTTTTCCCTACATTATGTTCTAGCAACTTTATAGTTTTAGCTTTAATATTTAGGTTTTTATCCATTTTGAATCAATTTTTGTAATGGTGTGAGGTATGGATCCTGTTTCATTTTTCTGCAAGTGGATAATCAGTTTTGCCAGCACCATTTTTTAAAGACTGTTTTTTCCCCCATTCAGTGAATTTTGACACTTTGTCGAAAATTAGTTGCCTGTAGATGAATAGATAGGGGTTTTGACAATCACTCTTCAGATGCTAGTTCCCTTTTGGAACTTCTTATACTATCTTCAAGCTTTTTCAGTGCTCAGTTTTAGTCAATATATTTACGTTACGGCCATCAAAACGTCCCTGGGTGGTGCAAGTGGTTTGCACTCAGCTAGTAACCTAAAGATCAGTGGTTCAAACCCACCCAGTGATGCCAAGAAGAAAGGCATGGCGATCTGCTTACATAAAGATTACAGCCAAGAAAACCCTATGGAGCACTTTTACTTTGTAACATCTGGGGTTGCCATGAGTTCTGTTGTAGGGAAAAAACATCATAAAGTTTAGTAAAGCAAAAAGAAAATTTTATTCAGCATATATTCAAAAAGGCAAAAGTGGGAAAACAGACAAGCATACCGCTAGAACCATGTCTGCCTGAGTCCGGGGAATATTACAGAATACGCAAGAATGGGAAATCCGGGAAGCATGCTGCTAAAGCCATGTCTGCCGGAGTCCAGAGAACATTACAGAGTACGCAAACGTGGGAAAATGGACAAGCATGCTACTACAGCCATGTCTGCCTGAGTCCAAGGAACATTACAGAGTCATCGGTATGCATTAACATTACAAATGGACAAAACCATTGAAAGCTTTACCTTTTCACAGACTGGCTAGTAACTGTGATCCTACATTTTGAATTGTCTTTCCTAGCAATCATTGGTACAGATTTTAGTAAGGACAGTCAGGAGGGTCCTCACTGGTCCAACACGTTTTCTATTCACTAAATGTTAATAGAAAAAGGTAAGAGTGGAAAGTCTTTTGTGCTCATTTGATTGGCTTTATGTGAAAGGTTCCCTAAAAGATATTTTCCAAGATAATCTTAGCTATTGTCTTTATACCTCAGGGCCCAGTTGATATGTCCTTGTGAGTCCCGCTCGAGCTGGGTCACATTCTCTACGCTCAAGGACAGGGAATAATAACTCCAATATTGTTTCGTAAATCAGTTGGAATTCACTCGATGAGCAACAGGTTTGGTTTTTTATTTTCATTTTCTTATTGTCATAAAGAAACATTTCAGTCCCATCTTTGGCATTGTGCTGTATTATTACACTTCACAAGAGTTTTATTAAAAGAAACAGAAGCAGCAAATACAGGCAAGAAAGTCCTACATAAAACAAAAAAGTAATTGTAAGGAATCCTTTTTCCCAAGAGCCCCAGCATCTCTTCAGTAGTGCGTAAGCAAGACAATGAGAAGAAACAATTAAATCTTAACTCTTCCTCATTCAGACAAGCAGAATGTGCCTTTATGATACTTTATGTAAAGGATCTAAAAGGGTACTTCACTTTTTAATGGGAAGTGATGTATCAAACTTACTTGTTAATTTGTATGTTCATTTTACCCTTCCCCTGTATTAAAACTGTGTGTGTATGTTGGGGATGGGAATGAAGGTTGGGGGACAGAACACTTTGTGACAACCTCTGGTCTCAAACTTTGTAAGACAGCTTCACTCATTTTCTAAAATATTAAATTAAACTACAAAGTTTTTGCAGCCAGCATTCATTGGACAATAGTTTGTATTTTTTCCCATGAGACCATATTATTAGTTGCTATCAAGTTCATTCTGATTCATAGTGACCCCAGGTGTGTCAGGGTAGAACTGTGCTCCATAGCATTCTCAAAGGCTGCTTATTTGGAAATAGAGCATGAGGCCTTTTTTCTGAGGCATATGTGCGTTGACTCAACCCTCTAACCTTTCTGTCAGCAACCAAGTGCTTTAACCATTTGCACCACCTAGGGACAACCATGAGATCATAGTGTTCTTGAATCCATGACTATAGACCAAAGAATGCTTGAACTTAAAAGGACCTGGTAGGCCAAGCCACTCATGGTACAGATAAGGAATCAGATAAGGAGGCCCAGAGAGATGAAGAGGCTGCCCAAATTAACATGACTGCTTAATGGCAAAGCAGAAACTCAAATTCAAGTTTCCTGACCCTTCAGGGCTCCTTCCATCAATATGCTTGAAACCTCTAGAATGACAGTCACAGAATGAGTCTCTGAGGCTGCGCTGTCCAGCACGGTAATCACTAGCCACATGTGGCTATCAAGCACTTGACATGTGGCTAGTCTGCACTGAGATACGCTGTGTGAAATACTGATTTTGAATATTCATAATATAGGATATCTCAATAATTATTTTTATATTGATTACTTTTGAAATGATAATATTTTATACATATAGGTTTAAATAAGCTATCTTATTAAAATTTATTTCACCAATTTTTTTACTTCTTTTGAAGTGGCTACTTGAAAATTTAAAATACATATGTGGCGTGTATTATATTTCTGTTGTACAGAACTGGTTTCAGGATTCATATTAAGGCACCACCTCTCTCTTCTACTCTTTCATGCGCTCCCCCACCACTATCCTCAATATATGATCTCTAATCTCTTTAATTTGCATATACCAGGAAAAAGGGCAGGAGTATTCAAAGGTGACCAAAGTATCAAAAACAGTTTGTCAATTCACATTCCTGGTTAAAAACAAAAACAAGTAAAATACTTGGAAAGGCCTTGGGATGTTCCACATATTACTCGTGGGGAAAAGAATGTTTAACAAACAATAGTTTGTAGTTGCAAATAATAGGAAGAAAGCAAAACAAGCTTAAGAAAGGCAGGCTTTGTAAGGACAATGAAGTAGCCCCTGCAACCCAAGTTCAAGGATGCAGTTGGCCTCAGAAATAGACTGGAACTGAGCCTGCACCCTGTCGGGATGTCAATGAGTCCTTTCTCTCCTCTCATCTCTGTGATGAACTCTGACTTTCATCCCAATCTGCATATTGATGATGATGATGATGATCAACAAGAACAAAGTTACTGAACACTTGCTAGATGCCAGGTGCTGTGCAAAGTACCTTATTAAATGTATTATCTCCTATAATCCTTACTAAATCTTCATTTAGTAATTATTATTATTCCATTTTGCAGGTAAGGAAATTGAGGAACAAATAGGTTTAAAAATATTTGCCCATGACCATGTAGCTATTAAATGTCAAAGTCGAGATTAGAAATAAAAGGTTAAGCGCCTAACAGTATGGCATGTCTTCTTCTGAAGGATGGTTATCATCAACAGCGTTCAATTTGCATCTCCTAAAACAACAGTACTTACTTCATAGGGTTGTTGTGAGGATTCGATGAGGTATTGCTTGTAAATCACTTAGCAGAGTTTCTGTCACGCAGCATGTGCTCTTTGCGGGTTGGCTGGTGGTGGTATTGCCTTTGTTCAAGACAGCAGTCAGACTGAGACCAGAATCTTAGCTTCAGATTATCGGTGAAAGGAGTCCGACCAGCAGAACACAAGTTAAGAATCCAATTCTGGGCTAATCAATTTTTCCAAGAGGGAATGATGCCTTGGGTGGCTTCCTGGGACTCCATTTCTGTGAATTGGGGACAGAAAGGAGAAAGGCTAGAAGACAGGCTACTGTCTGAAGTGGTGTTGAATATAATCTCTAAAATAGTGACTAAGCATTATTCTAGCATCAAATATCACCATCCCATTGTATTTACAGAACCAATCTAGCAAGTTAAAAATAGCACCAAAGGTTAAAAAAAAAAAAGTGTCTTCGAGTTGATTCTAACTCCTGGTGACCCCAGGTATGTCAGAGTAGGACTGTGCTCCATGAGGTTTTCAATGGCTGATTTTTCAGAAATAGATTTTCAGAAGTAGATCTCCAGACCTTTCTTCCAAGGTACCTCTGGGTGGGCTCGAACCACCACCCTTTTGGTTAGTACTTGAACACTTAACTGTTTGTGCCACCCAGGGCCCTGCACTGAAGGTAGAACTTGCATATTCTGAGTTCCAGAGTGAAGCTTTTCTTTTATGGGCTGTATTCATCAGTAATTTTTAAACTACAAATATCAGAAAGTCAAATGTACAGTAGATTCAAGAAAATAGGGTTCATTTTTCTCACATAACCAGAAGTTTGAAGACAGGGCTGGCATCTCTGAGGTTCTCTTAGCCACTTTCTCAAGGTTGCAAGATGGCTTCCCCCAGGCAGCAAGGGTGACAGGTTGTGAATGACTGTTGGAGTGTCCGCTATGTGAGCATATAAAAATTTTACTTCAAAAGAAGCATAAACAACATAGTAGATACCAGAAATATGTTATGTACAGAGCCTTACCTAATCCATTTATCTAAAAATGTTGCACCATAGACATTAGGGGAATACAGTGTCAGGGAAATCATAAATTACAATAGTGTATGCATCACCTCATAATCCCATTTTATCGATTTCACAACAGAGGAAGGTGCATCAAGCTTTTCGTGCTCGGAAACCTACTGTGGACCCTACCCTGAATCGGAGCCAGAAGTGAAGGCAGTGGCTGATTTCTTGAGAAAAAATATCAACCACATTAAAGCTTACATAAGCATGCATTCATACTCCCAACACATAGTGTTTCCTTATTCCTACAATAGAAGCAAAAGCAAAGACCACAAGGAGCTGGTAAGTGCTGCTGAATTATTTTTCTCACTGGCATTTGTTGGGGGAAAAGTAACTAAAAACAAAATCTACTCCCAACCCAGGAAACTTCACCACAAAAATAAAAGATAAAGAAAAGTTTTATTATTGATGGAGCATTAATCCAGAACATGAAGCATCTCAGGCAGTGGGCTAAAGACATTGCAAAGACCGAAAGGAATCTGACCCTTTATATAGCTGAGTGGATACTGTTGTAGGGGGAAAAAATCACAAAGTCTAGTAAAGCAAAAAAAAAAATTTTATTCGGCATTATTCAAAAAGGCAAAAGTGGCAAACAGACAGACACGCTGCTAGAGCCATGTTTGCCAGAGTCCAAGGAAATACCACAGAACAGACAAAAGTGGGAAAATGGACAAGCATGCTGCCACAGCCATGTCTGCCCCAGTCCAAAGACCATTACAAAGTCATCAGTATATATTAACATTACAAATGGGCAAAACCATTGAAAGCTTAACCTTTTCAGATTGGCTAGAAACTGTGATCCTACATTTTGAATTGTCTTTCTTAACAATCATTGGTACAAGTTTTAGTAAGGACAGTCAGGAGGTTCTTCATTGGTCCAACAAATTTCTCTCACTAAATGCTAACAGAAAAAGGTAAGAGTAGAAAGTCTTTTTATGTTCGCTTTGATTGGCTTTATGTGAAAGTTTCCCTAAAAGATGTTTTCCAAGATTATCTTAACTATTGTCTTTATACCTCAGGGCCCAGTTGATGTCTCCTTGTGAGTCCTTGTGAGCCCAGCTCCAGATGGGTCACATTCTCTATGCTCAAGGAGAGGGAATAATAACTCCTATATTATTTCCTAAATCATCATATTGGACAGATTAGAACTGCCCCATAGAGTTTCCAAGGCTGTCATCTTTACAGAAACAGACTGCCACATCTTTTCTCCCTTGGGGCTGCTGGTAGCACCTGTTGGGCAAATATAATTAAAAACAAAATCTACTCCTAACCCAGAAACTCTCTCCACGAAAACTAGAAGAGTTTTATTATCGAATAAACATTAAGCCAGAATGTGTTGCATCACAGGCAGTCCACTAAAGAGATTTCCACGTCAGAAAGAAATCTTACCCTTTCTACAGCTGAGTGCTTACAACCTAATATGTTCATGTTTTCAAGATAAAATTGCTAATATTCGACAGGTGCTGGTTGAATGGACACAGGAAATCAGGGGTGGAAAGGAGCAGTGTGCTATCACCGTATAGGGAGAGCAGTTAGGGTCACATAACAATGTATGTATAAATTTTAGTATGAGAGACTAACTTGAATTGTAAACTTTCAAGTTAAAGTACAACAATAAAATAAAATTTTAAAAATTTTAATTATATTAACATGTAATGGGTTTATTATTATTTTAAATGAATAAATGGTTTAAAGTTAAAAAAAAACAACTGGTAATATGGGCAGAGGTAGGTTTGCAATTTGGGGCCTGGGCTATCTGAGGTTATGCTAATCTCCTTCCTGGAAACGGGAAGGTAGGGGAGGATTACCTGAAATTACATTTCAAAGAGATGGCTACCAGGTCCAATTAACACCTTAGATTTATTTTTCAAAGATAGAGAAAGAATTTACAATGACAAGTCATCTAACATGAATTCTGATAGAACAGGGGAGGAGAGGAGCCCTTTCCTCCATTCTCAGCAGGGAGAATTAAAACCTTTTCTTTTCAATTTGTATTTGTCCTTATACACCATCAATTTGATACTAGCAGCAGGAATAGTTTATATACTGATCTCCCTAACCCCTAAAAGTTTGGTTTTATTAACTACACCAAAGCCCAAACCAGTTGCCTGGGTGTGGATTCTGACTCATGGAGACCCCATGTGTTACACAGTAGAACTGGGCTCTCTAATGTTTTCAAGGCCATGACCTTTTGGGAGCAGATTACCAGGCCTTTCTTCCAAGGTGCCTCTGGGTGTGTGTGGACCACGGATGCTTCTGTTAGTAGTCAAGTGCTTAACTGTTTGCACCGTCAGAGATTCCTGGTCCTATTAAAGCATCTCCAATTTCAGCATTGAGGCAAGAGCCCGTTTTCTGGCGTGTAATGGGTAATGTAGGAAGTTCAAAGAGGGCCCACACAGTCTGTTCCTTCTCATCAGTTATTAGTCCCAGATGCTCTATGTTTGGATTGATGGCACAGGGTGCTTCCATGCAAGGATTGTTGATGGACTGTGACTAGGTTTAGCAAAGACCTCATCCCAGAGGTTTTCTAGACAACAGGAAGTGTTGTAGCAACAGCCTGCTTCTTGACCAAGGTCTGATCTTTGTGTAGTGGCTTGCTTCTTACTCTTTTCATCCTGGCTCTTTTAACACAATAAAATGCAGCCACATTAGGGGTATGGCAATGGCTGATGATAAATATAAGGTTACTTTCATTCTCTGAAAATAGCCCATTTAGAACATAAACATACAGGATACCTACAATTCTTTTTCCTTCTCGAGGGAAAACTTTAAAGACAAGTTCCTTTATTGGTATTATCTTTGAAGAAATGAAAGCTTATTTATCATTATTTCGAAGAGTAGTCTTATTCTGCCTTACTTTTGGATTGATATTATCACAAGTATTTGCTGAGGTTATTATATGTAAAATATTGTGCTCAATAGACATTCAGAGAAGCATTAGGTAAGGACCCTGCCCTTTAAGAGAATACGATATAGTCATGGAGATCAGCCATTAACAAATGTTGCAAATAACTGTACCCTCAGATGCCATATTAAAAAAAACAAACAAACAGATGCTTTCAGTCAGGTGGATTCCAACTCACAGTGACCCCATGAGTGTCAAAGTAAAACTGTGCTCTGTAGGTTTTCAGTGGCTGTCTTTTCAGAAGTAGGTCACCACATCATTCTTCCGAGGCACCTCTGGGTAGACTCAAACCTCCAGCATTTAGATTAGCAGCTGAGTGAGATGACATTTTGCACCACTCAGGGACTCCTAAGACACCATAAGATACTGTTGTTGTTTTATGCCATCAAGTTGATTCCAACTCATGGTGACCCCATGTGTTAGAGAGCAGAACTGCTCCATAAGGTTTTCTTGGCTTAATCTTTATGGAAGCAGATCACCAAGCCTTTTCTTCTGTGGTGCTTCTAGGTGGGTTCAAACTGCCAACCTTCCGGTTGCCATCCAAGTGAAAGACATTTGCATTACCTTGGACTTTACGGTGCCATTTAGTAACTACTAAATAAGTGGCACACATGGTAAGCTTACTTAAGAATGGAATAGGAAGGGATTGCAACTGACGAGGAAACACTGAGGTAAGGGAGGGGATAATGTATTCCCTTTCCTTGAGGAACTTACTCTCTAATAAGGAGTGACAGAAGTGTAAGGAAACAAGAATAATAAAGCACTGTTCCCTTCAAGGAGCCCTGGTGGCTCAATGGTTAAGAACTTGGCTGCTAACCAAAAGGTTGGCAGTTAGAATCCACCAGCTGCTCCTTTGAAACCCTATGGGGCATTTCTACTCTGTCCTATAGGGTCGCTTGAAGGCAACGGGTTTGGTTTTTTAGTTTATTGACTTCAAAGAATGGATACAATTTTCATCAGGGATTGTAGCTGGAAAAGATAGGATTCCTATAGGCTTACAGAGAAGGGAGGACATTCTAAGCTGAGGAGATGGCATTCCCCAGAGGAGGAAGTAGATGAAGCCAGGTTGTAAAGGTGTTTGAATACCAGAATCAATTTGTATTTTATTCTGTGGACAATGTGGTTCCATTAAAAATTTTTTTTAAAAAAAAACAATGGGAAGACATGACATAATACCCACTGCTGCTCCTCTGGGTTTTTTGAGAGGGTGACAGTGAATACCATGATGCTAATTCCAACTTCAGGAAAGATCTGGGTAATCTAGAGCCAAATAGAGTTGAGTAGGGGACTTGGTTATTACTCTGCTACAAAGGAGGGAAGTGGGGACAGAATCTTTTTTATATGAAGCATCTTTGAAAGTTATTAGGTATTTTACACAAGAATAAAACAGAGTTTGTAAGAAAGATGAGAAGTGAAGCACACATTTATAAGGTAGGTATGTATTATTTAGAGAAGTTTGGTTTAAACTTTGGTGATAATTTTGTCTAGGATCAAAACAACTCCAAATTGTTTGCCTTTGAAGCATATTTATACTTCAGTTTATATAATAAATGGATTCCTGAAAAGGCATGTGTGAGTTTTTTTTTCTACAAATTAAATAAAAATTTCAGTGCACTGGAAGAGTTTGTTTAAAGCCACCCAATTATGATTTCCGTGAAGCAAAAATAACTGTTTTGGTGAATTTTTTTTCTTAATTTACCTTTTGGATAAGTCCAGCTTTTTCACATACACTGTTTGATTCCATTAATGTATGATTGTCTTGTAGAAACTTCTACTGTCCTATTTCAAAGCTGTACATTAATTAAAATCTCATGTCCTCTTGCTTCCAGTCTCTGGTGGCCAGTGAAGCTGTCCGTGCTATTGAGAGTATAAGTAGGAATACCAAGTATACACATGGCAGTGGCGCAGAAAGTTTATGTAAGTATTGCTTCTTAAGATCTTGGAGAATTTTGAGGTAGTAAAGAAATCTGCATATTCAGTGTTTCCTGTGTGGATTTAGTTCTTCAAAACTGAATATTTTTAACAAGGTCACATGTAAAATGATTGGTTAGAAAAATTAGAAACAGAAGCATAATGGCTAGGACAGTGCAGAACACAGCTATATTAATAAATGATATACTAAAAAAGTTAAAATGATATTTTAGAAATTATGCTTACCTCTATAAAGATTATGGAACTGGCATCATGCATGTTGAGTGACATAGAAAAGATCATAAAGAGTCAAAAGAATGTGTAAGTTGCCAAGGGTCACCATGTAAGTTTGCACAGGTTGTACACTATACAAATACAGGGAGTACCATTTACATTACATGCTTTTTAGTAAGAGCCTGTATAAGAGTATAGCTCATAACATACTATATTTGAATGTCCGTTGTGGGTATCACACTAACAGGAGCTAGGTATGTGGAAAACTCAGCAAATATTTTAAATTAATTTATGCTGGAAGATATTTATTGAGGGAGTCCCTGTGTGATTCAGATGGTTAGGTGCTCGAACACTGCTGAGAAGTTGGCAGTTAAAATCCACCTAAAGGCACTTTGGAAGGCAGGCCTGGTGATCTGCTTCTAAAAAGTCACAGCCTTAAAAACCCTATGGAGCAGTTCTACTCTGCACACATGATGTCACCATGAGTCAGAATCAACACAAGGGCAACTAACAACTATGTACCCACAGTGGGATGACAGACAAAGCTTCTGCCCTTTTGGAGCTGGAGGGGTAGGAGAGAAGGGGAACAGAAAATAAACATTTAATCAGGAGTCAGCAAACTATGGCTGGCAGGCCAAATCCAAGCCCCTGTCTAATTGTGTACAATCTAAGAGCTAAGAATGGTTTTTACATTTTTTAATGTTTGGAAAAAAAATCAAAAGAAGAGTAATATTTTGTGGTATGTGAAAATTACATAATATTTAAATTTCATTACTAATAAATAAAGTTTTATTGGAACACAGCTATACTCATACACTTAAGTATTTTCTATGCTGCTTTCGTGTCAGAATAGCAGAGTTGAGTAGGTATGACAGAAACAACATGGCTCACAAAGCCTAAAACATATACTGTCTGGTCCTTTACTAAAAAGTTTGCCAACTCCTGATGTAAACAATTAAATCATAACATATAGTGCAATTCTATTGGTAAGTGCTTTGAAGAAAAAATGGGCTGATGTGTTTGAGGATGTCTGTAGGAGAGAGAGAATACATAGCTGAAGTGGTCTTGGGGGCCTCTCACTGTAGCACATTCTGGGAGAATGTTATGGATTGAATTGTGTCCCCCCAAAATGTGTGTCAACTTGGCTAGTGCATGATTCCCAGTATTGTGTGGTTGTCCACCATTTTGTGATCCAACGTGATAATCCTGTGTGTTGTAAATCCTACATCTATGATGTTAATGAGGCAAGATTAGGTGCAGTTATGTTAATGAGGCAAGACTCAATCTAAGGATTAGGTTGTATCTTGAGTCAATCTCTTTTGAGATGTAAAAGAGAGAATCCAGCAGAGAGGAGAGGGACCTTATAACACCAAAAAAGAAAAGCCAGGAGAAGAGCACATTCTTTGGACTCAGGGTCCCTATGCTGAGAAACTCCTAGATCCAAGGGAATATTGATGACAAGAACCTTCCTCCAGAGCCAATAGAGAGAGAAAGCCTCCCCCTGGAGCTGGCACCCTGAATTTTAACTTTTAACCTCCTAGACTGTGAAAGAATAAATTTCTCTTTGTTAAAGCCATTCAGTTATGGTATTTCTGTTATAGCAGCACTAGATAGCTAAGACAGAGTCCTACATGGTAAGTGGCTGCCAGATAAAGGTATGGGGCAAGAGCAGTGTTAAATGAGTTACAGAAATTTGAGTTGAGTTACAAAAATTTTCAGAAAGATTTCATTTGGGAGCAAACCAAACTGCTAAAGCAAATAATGCTGGCACTCAAGAGGAAATACCAAAGAGTTCAATTGGAGAAAGTCAGCAATCTCTTTGTATAGACCTCTTGAGGAAGTTAGTTGGAATAAAAAGGTAGATTCTGGAAAGTTGTCATTTAAGAAATGTTAGGTTCTTTTGAAGTGGGGGCAAGTTTGTGATTGGCCCATGAGTCTTTTTGGTTTGTAATAGGTGTAAGACTCATAGTGACCCTATAGGACAGCTTACAACTGCCCCATAGTGTTCCAAGGAGTGGCTGGTGGATTAGAACTGCTGACATTTTGGTTACCAGCCAGAGCTCTTAACTATAATCGAGTTGACGGCAACGGGTTTGATTTTTGGGTTTAAATAGGTGCAAGGGTTCTTGGCTTTACTATGATGATTCTCAAGAGAATGTGCTTTGGAAAAATACCAGTTAAGCCAGGTTTATAGGTAGAAGCTACTTGGACCCACAATCGATGCCCATGGAAGCAGCAGTCAACAAATCAAGTGACATGTTGCATTGGGCAAATCTGCTGCAAAAGACCTCTTTGAAGTGTTAAAAAGCGAAGATATCATTTTGAGGATTAAGGTGCACCTGATCCAAGCCATGGTATTTTCAGTTGCCTTATATGTATGTGAAAACTGAACAATGAATAAGGAAGACTGAAGAACTGACGCCTTTGAATTATGGTGTTGGCGAAGAATATTGACTATACCATGGACTGCCAGGAGAAAGAACAAATCTATCCTGGAACGGTAGAGCCGAATGCTCCTTAGAAGCAAGGATGGTGAGACTTTGTCTCATGTACTTTGGACATGTTATCAGGAGGGTCCAGGCGAAAAAGCGGAAGACCCTCAACAAGACAGACTGACCCAGTGGCTGCAACAATGGCTTCAGTGATTGTGAGGATGGTGCAGAACTGGGCAGCGTTTCATTTTGTTGTATATAGATAGGGTGGCTATTAGTCAGAATTGACTCGACAGCACCTAACAGCATAGGCAGAAGTACCTGGGGCTGGTCAAAACTGGTTATGGTAGTTTCTGGTTGACACCAGGCAGAGAGAATGGCAAGTGAAAAAGCTTTGAGACAGCATATTCAAGGTCCCAAAATGTCTTTTAACAGATATAAACCAAAAAAACCAAACCCGTTGCCACTGAGTTGATTCTGACTCATAGCAACCCTATAGGACAGAGGACAACTGCCCCATAGGGTTTCCAGGGAGCAGATGGTGGATTCAAACTGCCGATCTTTTGGTTAGCAACCGAGCTCTTAAAGCACTACCGCACCAGTCACATTTGTATTATTTTTAATAAACTGCTTGAGCACCAAATGCCATATTAGTAGAAAATACAGAATCTCCCTCTTGAGGTATCTTCCTTCTCTTCCCCACCTCCAACCATCCCAAACAGTCTCAGAACAAACCGGGGCCTGATTGGTCTACGTGGTATCTCTCTGTCACTTAGTGCCACTGGTCAATGCTGGTCCACTGCAGCCTTTGCTGACCCAGGTTCTCACCCGTCACAGAGGAACCACACAACTTCTTCACAGTTCAGAGCTTTCTTGGTTCTCATCCTCTCCCTTACTGCTGTTCCCCAAAGCATAACCACGTGCCTCAAGGCTAGAGGTGCTTAAAGAAGCAACCCCATCTTATGATGAAATGAGTCCATCTCTACCAATTCATTAATTCAGCATGTATCTATGTGTATGTGTAGGTAAACATAGAAAAATGCCAGGAAGAATATATGCCAAATATTGATAGTGGTTATCAGAAATATTTGCTGAATGAATGAGTGAATAAATGAATGAGTAATTTGTCCAGTCCACTGTTGATGGATATTTTTCAATATTAGAAACAATGCTTCAGTAAACATACTTGTAATTAATCCAAGTATAGGTATTAGAGAGAGGCAAAAATTATCATTATTTGCAAATTATATAATTGTCTACCTGGAAAACAGAAAATCAACCAAAAAATTAATAACAATAAAAGAATTCAGAAAGGTGGCTGACTATGAATTAGATATACACAAATCAATACCTTTCTTATATGCCAATAATAATTAGGTAGAAAATAAAATGGAAAAGAGATCCCACTAAGGCGTATAAATTTATAGACACCCCTGCTCACACACACATATATATGTATACATGAGCCCTGGTGGGCAGTGGTTAAGAGCTCGGCTGCTAACCAAAAGGCCAGCAGTTCAAATCCACCAGCTGTTCCTTTGGGAACCCTATGGGGCAGTTCTACTCTGTCCTATAGGATTGCTGTGAATTGGGATCGACTCGACAGCAACACATTTGGTTTTGTTGGTTTTATACATATAACCCGTTGCCACTGAGTTGATTCTGACTCACAGTGACCCTAGAGGACAGAGTAGAACTGCCCCATAGGGTTTCCAAGCAGCACCTGGTGGATTCAACTGCCAACCTTTTGGTTAGCAGCCGTGGCTTTTAACCACTAAGCCACCAGGGTTTCCTATATACATATATATATGTGTATATATATGGATTCGTTGTTAAATGTATATATATGTGCCCACACATATACATACACACACAATAAATCGCTGTTGTTGGTAGGTGCTGTCGAGTTGGTTCCAACTCATAGCAGCCCTAGGTACAACAGAACGAAACACTGCCTGATCCTGTGCCATCCTCACAGTTGTTGCTAAGCTTGAGCCCATCATTGCAGCCTCTGTATCAATCCATCTTCTTGAGGGTTTTCCTCTTTTTTGCTGACCCTCTACTTTACCAAGCTTACGTCTTTCTCCAGGGACTGGTCCCTCCTGATAACATGTCCAAAGTAGATGAGATGAAGTCTTCCCATCCTCGCTTCTGAGGAACATTCTGGCTGTACTTTTTCCAAGACAGATTTGTTCATTCTTCTGGCAGTCTGTGATATATTCAGTATTCTTTGACAATGCCATAATTCAAAGGCATCAATTCTTCTTCAGTCTTCCTCATTCATTGTCCAGCTTTCACATGCGTATGAGGCAATTGAAAATACCATGGCTTGGGTCAGGTGCACCTTAGTCCTCAAAATAATATCTTCACTTTTTAACACTTATTAAAGAGGTCTTTTTCAGTAGATTTGCCCAACGCAATATGTCATTTGATTTCTCGCTTGCTATTTCCATGGCGTTGATTGTGGATCCAAGTAAAATGAAATCCTTGACAACTTCAGCCTTTTTTCCGTTTATCATGATGTTGCTTACTGGTCCAGTTGTGAGGATTTTTGTTTTCTTTATGTTGAAGAGTAATCAATACTGAAGGCTGTAGTATTTGATCTTCATCAGTAAGTGCTTTAAATCCTCTTTACTTTCAGCAAGCAAGGTCTCGTCATCTGCGTATCGCAGGATATTAATTAGTTTTCCTTCAATCCAAAAATGTTGAACTCACTGGTAATCAAAAAAACAAAAATTAAGACAATTCGATAATATTTTTCACCCATCAAATGACCAGAAATTCATAATTCCCATGGATGATGTGGGAGGGGAAGTGAGCTTATTCAGACGTGACTAATGGAGGTATAAATTCATTCAATTCTTTTAAAGGCTATTTGGAGATATGCATCATAGTTGTAAATAGTGTATATCCTTAGACTAGCAATTCTATTTCTAAGGAAAAATATTCTAAAGAAATAAAGAAGCAATTATATATGAATTAGGGTATTAATTGTAAAGCTCTTTGTTCGTTAAAAATTGGAAAAAATCTAAATGCCCTCAAATAAATTAATAATTATTAAAATCAATTATATCCCTTTTTACTGTGCAGTGTTATGCACTCATTAAAAATAATAATGTAATCAGGAATGGGAGGGGTGGGGGGGAAATACTAAATAGGCAATAAATAAGTGGTATCTTGGGTGAAGGGTGAGACAGTACACAATACAGGGGAAACCAGCACAGCTTGTACAAGGAAAGATCATGGAAGCTCCATAGACACATCCAAACTCCCTGAGGGACTGAATTGCTGGGCGGAGGGCTGTTGGGACCATGGTCTCAGGGAACATCTAGCTCAATTGGCATAACACAGTTTATAAAGACAATGTTCTACATTCGACCTCGGTGAGTAGCGTCTGGGGTCTTAAAAGCCTGTGAGCAGCCATCTAAGATACTCCACTGGTTTCATCCCTCCGGGAGCAAGGGAGAATGAAGAGAACATGATACAACGAAAAGATTAGTCCAAAGGACTAATGGACCACAGCTACCAAGGCCTCCACCAGACTGAGTCCAGTACAGCTAGATGGTGCCCGGCTACCAGCACTGACTGCTCTGACCAGGATCACAACACAGGGTTCTGGACAGAGCTGGGGAAGGATGTAGAACAAAATTCTAACTCACAAAAAAAAGATTTACTGGCCTAGAGAAGACTGGAGAAACCCCGAGAGCATGGCCCCCGGACACCCTTTTAGCTCAGTGGTGAAGTTGTCTCCGAGGTTCACCGTTCAGCTGGGGAGTGGACAGCCCCATAAAACCAAATGGGACTAATGAGGCACAGCAGTCCAGGGACAAGGGCCAGAAGGCAGAAGGGGACAAGGAAGCTGGTGATAGGGAACCCAAGGTTGAGTAAGGATAGTGTTGATGTGTTGTGAGGTTGTTAACCATTGTCATAGGGCAACATGTGTAGTAACTGTTAAATGAGAAACTGTTTTGTTCTGTAAGTCTTCATCTAAAGTGAGAATAGCAGCACAATTGGAAGAGCGTAGTCGATGTCACTGAACTGTGCATGTATAAATTTTTGAAATGATGTATCTTTGGCTATGTATATTTTCACCAAAAAAAAAAAGGGTCGAGAAGGGAGAGGGTTGACATGTTGTGGGGTTGTTAACTAATGTCATAAAACAATTTGTGTACTACTGTTTCATGAGAAACTATTTGTTCTGTAAGCCTTCACCTGAAGTACAATAAAAAAAAAATAATGTAGATTTGATCTCATTAATACATACAGCTGGTCATGATAGATTTAGAAATGTTACAAGACAGCATACATAGTATGATCCGTTTATGTAAGGAAAAATTAAATATGTGAATGCACTAAAAAATTAAAGATAATGCACTAAAACATTAATGGTGATTATCATTCCTTAGAAGTTTCTGGGTGGCCCAAGCAGTTTGCAATTGGCTACTGACCGAAATGTTGTGGGTTGGAACCCAGCTAGCAGGGTCATGGAAGAAAGTCCTGGTGATATGCTTACCTAAAAATTACAGCCAAGAATACTCCATGGAACCATTCCACTCTGTTAACACATGGGGTTGCCATGCTTCAGAATTGACTCCACAGCGATGTGTGTGCGTGTGTGTGTTTTTCCTTCTTTTTAATCAGTCTTTCGTAGGGTTATAAGGAGCCTTGGTGGTGCAGTGTTAAGCACTAGGCTGCTAACTGAAAGGTTGGTGATTGGAACCCACCAACTGCTCTGCGGGAGAAAGATGTCGCAGTCAGCTTTCCTAAAGATTTTAGCCTTGGAAACCCTATGGGGCAATTCTACTCTGTCCTTTAGGGTCGCTATCAATTGGAATCGTCTCCACCTTAGTGGGTTTGGTTTGGTAACGTTATGGGTGATTTTTACTTTCTTCCTTAACCTTTTTTCCCCTCAATCTCCATTTTCTACAAGTAACTTACGTTACTTAATAATCAGAGACAAGTGAAGCTTTTTTCAGTTTTAGGGGAAAAAATTGTGTTAACTAATATGAAATATCTGTTTTTAAAAAGCAATTTCTTCTTGTAGATCTAGCTCCTGGAGGTTCGGATGACTGGATTTATGACTTGGGCATCAAATACTCGTTTACAATTGAACTTCGAGATACAGGCAGATTTGGATTCTTGCTGCCTGAACGTTTCATCAAACCAACTTGCCAAGAAGCTCTTGCCGCTGTCTCTAAAATAGTCTGGCATGTCATCAGGAATGTTTAATGCCCTTGATTTTATCACTCTGCTCCCATATTTCAATTTATTGATTCCAGCAAGACCAAATAATTGTGACAGCTTCTTTTTAAGTTTTATCAAGAGTTTTGTTACAAGATTTTGCTGTTTCTTGGTTTTGTCAAAGAACAAAATAAATTCTACCTTGAAATTAAGACAGCGGTTCACATTTCTTTTCAGTTTTTTTGTTTTTAATTGTAAGGGCCTAGGTACTGATTTTTTTCGTTTGATTTACGATGTTTGACTAACCATTTAAACAATTTTAATAAACAGTATCATACAAATCATTGTTGAAAGTTTAGAGACCCTAAGCAACAAAAGGAAAGATGGTCAGGAGTACCTCAAAGATTTCTGTTCCAAATCTTCAGTAAATTTGTTTGCGCTTTTAAAAACACAACTGTGCATTCCGTTTGCTTCACAATAATAGGCGATGCCCTACACAAAGAGACAAGTGTTCCAAAACGGGACAAATGCTGGATCTGGTCCCGCGCAGTCTCTTAATAAGCGCTGTTGAGCATGTGAATGACTGTAGTTACTTTCAATAATGTGGCATTTTGCGCACCTACAATTACTGTTTATTGTAAGAAATTATGTAATAAAGGGGGGAAACTCTTTCTCTTAATTTCACTTTTAACTGAGAATCAAAAAATTCCCCGCGACTCCCAGTTTCCTTTCACAAAGCACAAATTTGGTATCTCAACTCCCGCTAACGTTCTAGGTCCTCAGCGTCGACGCAACGTACCAATAAAGGGGCGGTGTCTGCGCGGTGACGACAAATCTGGCGGCCGGAAGCTGCCTCGTTTACAGAGGAACAGGGCAATCCCTTGACTTCCGTCGGCCTTTGAGGCGATCCTTCTAGTGCTCTGGTAGTGTTTTCGTTGTCCTTTTTTTACTTGCCATCTGTGTTCGTTCTTTTTCTTTCCACGCCCCGTTGTCGCCTGACCCTGGCGAAGCGGTGGGCTCTGTTTCTTAGTCTCTTCGGGGTCACCTCAGTAACCGAGGACCGGTTTCCGGGAGCTGCGCGCGCGCACCTTCTTGTTGTCATCGCCCTCCCGGGGCCAGGCGCGGGACCGAGGCTTTTCTCCCCAGCTCCTTCGAGCGGCGGCGGTGTTGGTGCCTCGGGGCTGCGCTTGCGAGGAGAGCTCGGGGCTGAGGTAAGGGTTCTGTGAATTCATGTGAATATATGAAGAAAAGGCTTTGGGCGAGCTGCGGCTGAGGAGGCCCGGAGTTGCCCACCATCCCCACTTGGGTCACACGGGATATTGAGCTCTCCTTGAGCATCCTACCCTTAAATCTGCGATAATTTCCTAGGGTCAGGTCTCATTTCTCTCCGTCGCTCTGATTGTGGCGAGTTTGTCTAGGGGACGGGTTGACTCAGGTAAAAGACTGTGACCATCATTTAATGCGGGTAATGGAGCTCTTGAGCAGGATTCGCGTTTGTATGCAATGGAAGCGTGCTGGAATAAAGTCTTAGATTTAGAGGTTTCCTCTTTCGGCATTACAGACCTGTAATCGGTAAAGGGATCTTACTTTTGGTTGTTTTTGGTCTTGTTTATTTCCTAGCAGTGATAACTTAACCGATTTAGGGCCTGGGAGTTGAGGAGTCCTGCTTCGTCTTCACATCCCCTCGGTAATCACTTTTGGCAGCGCTGTGTGAGAAACAGATGGTTGAATGAAGGAGCAGTGGAATGAAAGGAGAGGACCTGATGTTTAGCATTATCTCTTTCTAAATAAAAACCCAAACCAAACCTTTTGCTGTCGACACGATTCTGACTCATAGCGCGACCCTGGAGGACAGAGTAGAACTGCTCCATAGGGTTTTCAAGGAGCGGCTGGTGGATTCGAACTGCTTGGTAAGCAGCCAAAAGCTTAACCACTGCGCCACCAGTGCCTCGCTGTTTCTAAATAGGTTAAAATAATTTATATGGCTGGATAATTAATCAAAATTGATATTACTTGAATGATATCGGTAGGATCTTGCGTGTGGAAATAGTGTCTTAAGCTATTCAGTTATATTAGGAGGCTTCCGGATAATTTGAACTCTTTTGAAAATTGTGAGTGTATACAGTTTCTTAAGGTTTTTGCATTTTTAAAGAGGGAATGTAAAAAGTTTGGAAGAGATCTTCACACCTCAAGTTTGCAAAGTCCATGATACTGTTGCAGCAAATCCAAATGCTTATGCAGTGCCATCTCTGTGTGTATGGTGCCAGTTAGCATGGTCTAGTTCTGAATATTTGATGTTACTGACTTTAATATCCAAACAATTATATTTTAGAGATCTGTTGATTTTCAGGTTATTAATTAAATATTGAGATTATAATAAATGACGGTTTCAGGGAGAGACTAAGAAAATTGATGAAGATATGTATCAGTTTGTGTTTCTAAAAATAGTTGCATCATGAAACTAAGATTTTCACTGTGTCCGTCTGGTAGGATACAGTTTTATCAAATGTATGCCTCTTTTAGGGTCACTATGAGTCAGAATCTACTTGATGGCATTGGGTTTGGTTTTTTTGGTTTTATTAAAGTCCTAGTTGTTGGTAATTCTAATTGAACATTGTACATTTTAGGATGCAAACCCATTTTCATATCTGTAATATAAAGTATTAAAATACAGCAAGTGGATGCTATTTTAACTTTTTCTATAGAAAATTATTAAAATTTTAATAAGTTGTCAGTATTAGTTTATATTGTAATATGTGGTGGTATTTACATATAGAAAGCAAAATTGTTTAACTTAACTACATTTGGAAAATTGGTTTTCAGTGGTCGTTAGTCTTTCCCATCTTCCTTACTTCCAGCCCATATCATATAGAGTTGGAGGCGTTTTAGCAGATATTTTGTAGCAGTTGAGATATTAACTGGTGTTGATATTACAGTGTCTTTTATTCTCTTTTGGTAGTTTTATATGTTGCAGTTCTGTTTACTTGACTTCATCGTAGTTACGGATATGGAATATTCTTTGTGCACACATAGTCTTTTTAACAAGTTATTTTTGTGTAGTGCTACAGTATTGCCTTGCCCATGCCTGTGTAGTCAGCTTAGTTGTGTCGGTTTTGTTGCAAGACCAGTTTGGAATTGATTTACTCTGTCTACAGATAAGCAATCTAGAAGGTTGTTTCAGAAAGTTCTTTTTAATACTTCAAAACTGTGCATCAGATAAACTTAGTTGTTTTTTCTTTTAAAAATAAGAAATATAAATATGAGAAGAGTTTATTTTAACTATAACTTTTAATCTTAGAAATTCAGTGGGTAGGGATTTATTCTACTAGTTATACATTAATGTAGTTTTAATTATTTAACAATTTCCTAGTATTAATGCTGCTACTGTATAAGTAATAGAAGATCATCCAAATTAAAGTGGGCTATGCTTTTATTTATGCTACAGGAAGATGAGACCTCAGAAGGATCAAGTGAAGATACCAGAACTGATACATACTTTACTGACAAGGTTTTAGTCATTAGGCTTCAGGAGTAATTATTCGAAAAAGAGGCCCCTGTATTTTTCTTCCTTTTTTAGCCATATTTATAGTGTGTGGCTTCGAATAGATTGTGATATTATAATTTCCCATTTATTAAGATTCCCTTTTCCTGTGTCTTTAATAGATCCAAACTTTATGCCCCCAGTTTTTCTTTTTCTTTTTTTAATTTAAACAAGATAACAAAAACTTACAATATTTATGTATCTGCAAGGAAAAATAGAAAAATGACTGAGTAGACTTTCACCATTGTCACTCTGGCTCTAATAGTGCTGCTGTTTGGGAAAGAAATGAAGACGTGACTGGAAGTGTGATAGTGTAATGGCAACTTAAACCAAAGAATAACAGGAGAGAACAATTAATTTGGGGAAAAAAATGGAGAACAGACCTTCAAAGAAGAGTTAACTAAATTAGTAAATTTTTGGTGTAACCTCAGTTTATAATCTCTGTGATAGAGAAGACTTTAGCATTTAAACAATTTTATTTTGTTGTATTGTTTTTAACTTTTCCCATGTACTTTGAAACATTTGCTTATTGAAGCCTGTTCAAATATTAATTGAATTTTTTTCCTTCGGTCAAATTTACTTTGTATTTTTTTGTTATATTTCTCTTCCTTTGTGAACCTAAATTTTTAAGTAGGATTTGAAGTTCTAATTAAGTCACATTAGGTGGCAACATAGTTTTAAATTAATAATGCAAGAGGAAATTTCTTTGGTGTGTTGTAGATTGTGTGTGTACATTTAAATAAATGAGATTTTAAAAAAGTTATGTATTGTGTTCTTTGCACACAAGAAGCATTTTATTTATGCAAAATCATGAATGTTATGTTTTAGTAGTAATATTGTAGTTAACTTTTTATTGTTGAATTGTCACCAGAGGTGAAATTTCCTAGATGGATGATGAGAACTCCTCTAACTCGTTTTTAGTTAGAAAATGTCAATTCCTCCTTTTTACCTCTTTCCCTCAGATTCTTTTTTTTTTCTCCCCTCCCTGTCTAGGACCTCCCTGTAACCTAGACCTGGTACCCGGATGCAGTGCCATTTCAGGGCAAGGTCTGACACTGTTGGACTCAGAAGAAAAGGAGAGGGCATTTTTACTTCATTGCATTTCTTCCCTAACTTGGAAGTCTCAACAGTAGCTGGAAATAAAATTCCTTGGATAATCACAATGTAGGTGAATCTTGAGTAGTTCTTGATGTCACCTGTAAGAGCAACTCTGTTTCTTTGGGAAGCAACTTCTTGATAGCAAGTATAGAAGGAGAGGTGTAGGCTTGGATTGTCAGTCTGCACTTGATTGTCTTTGACATAGCAGTCAAATCACTTTGAAGTCTTCAAAGCCTACATCAGGTATCTAGGATTGGCATGAGACTATGAGACCATGGTTTCCAGCAGTAGATCAGGGGAGAAGAGGAGTGCTGATCCAAGCAACAGGTGACAACAGGAAGAGAAGCAGTGAGTCCGCAAAACCAAGCAAGAAGATGATAGATGACCAATGATTCAAGTGCAGTAATCAGTAACTTACTCTAACTGTAGAAACCACCAGCATTGATGTTTTTAGAGGTGTGCGTATTGGGAGTGAAGATGTGTTGGGAGTAGGGCTGTAGGGGGACAGAACTAACTCATTTCCAGTGGTAGTGGAGGGAAACATGTAAGGTTAGCATTAGTCTTTTTGAAGCAACGTGGTGGATGGTGTGCCTATTTTCCAAGTTCTCGTTAACTAGCTAATAAGAAATGTTTGAAACCTATTCAATTTTAAGTTTATTAATGTTCTTAGAAATTGAACTAATGACTAGGATTACAGTGTAAATCCATAATACTGCAATTTGTAGTTACTTAAGATGAAACTTTAAAATTTTGTTTTTCTAACTTTTCCTGTTTATTTTGTGACACATTTATTTCTTATTGAATCCTTCTCAAATACAAATTAACCACAGTTCTACATTTTGTAGACGATCTCAGCTCTTCTCTTGGCTTTCAGTTCTTCATATTCAATAAATCTAATGGGCACGCGACGCTTTACCAACTCTTCTGCTATAAGTGCACATTTGGGCTGAGAATGAGGCCCAGAAATGCTAAATCGAAGGTTAACTTGTAATGCTAACATTAGTATATAGTGTTGGCTGTATAGTTCCTTACTTGGAGAACAATTGATACATAAGTGATTTTATGTTGCAGCAACTCTTATTCATTTATGTGACACTCTACACTAATTTGTTAAATTGTAATTACTTTAAAAGTACTTTCTAACTTCTTTGAATCATTAAAAATTAATTACTATTGCATTAAAGTAATGATTATATGTTATATTAAAGAAGAAAAACAATGTAAATTTTGCTGACTTAAAACTACATATTGTATCGTTTCATGTTTTGTTCTTTTCGGTTTATCATCTTTGTTCATTTGTCAAATGTTGTCTTTATTCTTTAAAACTGTACCCTGAAAAGAAGTATAAGCATTGTTTATAATTGTCTTTAATTTTGTTTTATAAACTGTGATTTAATTTTCTTTCAAGTGATATACCTTAGCCTTGAAATCATATAAAAGAGCATTTGTGATCTTTATAGAGACTGTTCTGTGTAAAATGGAGCTTTTAGTTCTTTAGCTGCCATGGTTTATTCTATTAACTTTTGACTACTCATAAGACTTGAGCTAATATTTTAGTTTGTACGTAGTGTTATATAGTTAGGTCTTTTCTCTTTCCCTTAGGCAAGTCCTCCCCACATCCCACTGTAGTGAACTCTCTGGGTTCTATCTTGGTCTATTGTAATTTTGGTTTTTGATGTATTTTATTTATTCTTTTGGTATTTATACTATTTGTCTTTCTTTTCTTGTCGTTAATATGCTAAAATAGCCTGCTTCTTAGCACCTTTGACTTTTATGTCACTGTAGCACAGACTATAGAAAGACCTTGACATTATCTAGTCCCACAGTCTTGTCTTATTTTGAAAGGAAGTCATTTTGTCAATATTGAGAGTGATTTTTTCCCCTACTACTGGAAAATAAACACCTGGATTAAATTGCGCTTCTTTGACCCCTGTAAGGCAAAGAAAATGTTTAGATAGCATTCATTTTTTTCCCAAGCTGATTTTTCAGTTATTAATGTTGTCACTTAAGCTGTATAAATCGTCGTTTCTGCCATTAGTAAAATTCCCACCTGATTTCATTTTCCCATTTTTTTTGACATAGCACTCTTTTGTAGTTAACTGGTTAATGGAGAATGATAGCATAATAAGTTTTACTTAAGGATAGAGTTAATAAACTTTGAAAGAACTTTTAGAAATAACTTCTGAACATTTTATAGTGATTTTTCTGAGGCTGAACATACAATGAAAACTTTACTGTGTAAGTGGAATCGTATTTGTTCACTCTGCCGATTTCAGAGTTGTTAGAGATTCACTAATAAAGCATATTGTAAAATATCTTTCTGTTTATCCATGACATCGATGTCTTTTTTTTCAAGGAAAATACCTTGTAATTTTATAGCATAATAATTTTATCTGCTTGTAAGTTATGGACTCAGTTATTCAAAACTGAAGAATTTTACAGATTTGTCTCTCTCTCTTTTGGTTAAAGTAGTCCAAAATGTCAAAAATTAGAAGGAAAGTCACAGTGGAAAATACCAAGACCATATCTGATAGCACATCTCGAAGACCCAGTGTATTTGAAAGGCTTGGACCCAGCACTGGCAGTACAGCAGAGGTGAGTTGGCACTAATACAGCCCCAGGAGTTCTCTTGGAGTACGATCATGGAAATACTGATTTGTATCATAAAAGTGAACAAGTTGCTTTATTGTAGAGTTATTTATCAGAAAATTTTAAAAACTGTGTTTTGTAAAAAGGAGTGAAAGGGTTTATGGGGTTTTCATATTTTCTTCTGATGTTTTCATTATTTGTAATGCATTTCGGGTTAGCTGGAATTTTTACAGCATTTGTTTTAATTTTGTCCCACTAGCATTTTTTTTTAGAAATAAATATGAAATTTACATAGTAATATCTGTTTCTTAGACACAATGTCGTAATTGGCTGAAGACTGGCAACTGCCTCTATGGAAACACATGCAGATTCGTACATGGTCCTTCACCCCGTGGTAAAGGCTATAGCAGCAATTATAGAAGGTAATTGGGAACTTTGGCTTTGAATTGTTCACATATTATTAGAAGATCACTTTTGTAATTTATCTAGTAACAACCATATATTTGATCAGATTTTCTACTTTGGAGATAATAATTACCAATAGTCAAAGATTGACAAGATCTTTTTAGTTGTTAATTTCAAAGTTAATATTTGCTTTAAAATCAGTTTTTTTGCCTAGTATTTACTTATTTTGACAATAGATCTTTTTAGGAAGTGTGTATAGCTTACTTTTTATAATAATGTATTAAGTTGCTGCTTAAGAATTCCATGGTGTCTGCAGTTTCATTATATGTGAATTTATTGTTAGTGAAGAGAGACTATTTTGAAGTCTTAATATATTAACATTTAAATAGGGTATTATTTTAGCTTTTTAGGATGTTCTAAATGTCCTTGCTTCTTGTTCTAAGAGTTTTATGGTTTTGGTTTGCACCTGTATGTCCTTAATCCATTTTGAATTTGTTTTTGTGTGTGGTGTGAGGCATGGATCCTGTTTCATTTTTCTGGGTGTGGAAATCCAGCACCATTTATTGAAGAGACTCTTCTTTCCCCATCAAATGGACTTAGCACCCTTGTCAAAAATCAGTTGACCATAAATGTGTGGGCTTATTTCGGGACTCTCAATTCTGTTCCATTGGTCTGTGTAACTGTTGTTATACCAGTACCAGGCTGTTTGAATAACTATAGCTATATAGTATGTTTTAAAATCAGGAAGTGTGAGTGTGAGTCCCCCTACTTTGTTCTTCTCTTTCAACATTGCTTTAGCTATTCTGGGGCTCTTGTCATTCCATATAAAGGTGAGGATTGGTTTTTCTCTAGGGATATTCTTTAAAGGCATTTTGTTTTTCATCTTTGCTTTGTTTTTTTTCCCCCACTTAATAATGAGATGAGAATAAACTAATTGAACAGCCATGTGCTATGTAATTCCGAGTATAAATTATGAAGCCTTACCTTTGTTACTTACAAGTGACCCTATAGAACACAGTAGAACTACCCCATAGGATTTCCAAGGCCCCAGTCTTTAAGGAAGCAGACTGCAACGTCTTTCTCCTGCAGAGTTTCTGATAAGTTTGGACTGCTGACCTTGCGGCTAGCAGCCAAGCTCTTAACCACTGCCCTAGCATGGCGCCTTGTAATCATGGTATGAAAATAAACTAATTGAACAGCCGTGTACTGTATAATTCCCAGTATAAATCATGAAGCCTTACTATTCTTGAATACAAATGTGTATTTTTCCTTCAATTTAACAAATTTCACAGAAGAATTTTTATATTCTTAGTTCTAAAATCTTGCTTTGAATCCTCAAACTGTTTTTTTGTTCTGAAATAATTTCAAATTTAAGAAAAGTTATGAGTAGTACAGAAACTCCTGCATTTGCTTTGATACTTAAGATGCATGAGATGATTTTTCAGCTGTTAATGTTGTGTCCAACCACATACATGTGTAGATTATCATGCTGTTGGGATCCTTAAAGCTTTATGAATTTTCCTACCTTTTACTTCCAAATATTACCAATATATCTAAGTGATTAATAGGAAAATATGTCAGGCTGTTAATTACAAATACCTTTTTCTCAACTCACATATGATTTCTTATTCATTTCACCGGTACCTGCAACCCAGGAATTTTAAATGTATACATTTTGAATGTTGTGAGGAGAAAACTTGTATGAGTCTTACTTATGTTTTTTATATATTAATATTTACCCTGATACAAATTAGTTTCCTGAGTTTTAAGAGCCATGGACAGTTACAAAAACTATATTGAGGTTTATGAGGTTGTTTCTGTAAATATTTTCCTATAAAATGTTATAAAAATATAGATTTTTGTTGTTTTGTTTTTTGGTTCAAAGGTCACCAGAAAGACCTACAGGGGATCTTAGAGAAAGAATGAAGAACAAGCGCCAAGATGTGGACACTGAGTCCCAGAAACGAAATACAGAGGAATCATCCTCGCCTGTTAGGGTAGGAATGTTTTTTCTCAAAGTTAAATTTCAGTGGTGTTTTATTATTTATGTTACATTTTAAAGATTATTTTGTATGCTGAATATATGGTAAATGTGCAGTATGGCGTTATAGTATTCTTTGTAGTTAATGTAATTTAGAGGAAAAAAGTCTTTTGGAAAAACTCATAATTTTAATGTTTCTGTTCTTTGTGGGAATTAAGATAAAGGGGATTGGTTTGGAGAGCTCAGGCTGAACTTTGTAGGGTTTCTGTACTTTGATGGGGATCATGAGAAACTAAATGTATTCTTAAGTTTTCAAAGTTCAGCCGAACATCATATCCTTACCTTCTTCTAAGATTTGAGGTGGCTTGCAATTGAACACTTACTTATAGACTAAAACAATGAAGGCAAGGCACAGTGGTAACAAAAACTGAGGTAGAAAACTTAAGTTTAAAAAAAAAAAAGTGACACATATTTAGGTGTGAATCTCCTGACAACTCAAAAGAGAAACACGATTTATGACATAGTTCATTGAATAAAAGTAAACATAGATGTTTGTCAAGAGTGGCTGTCTTTCCTAGAACTAAGTTTTTTCAGGAAAGTTTTCTAGAGTATATACCTGGGAGTGAGATTGCTGCATCACAGGGTAGTTCTCTTTCTGGGTTTCTGAGAAAGTGCCATACCATTTTCCATAGTAGTTGTACCTTTTTACAGTCTCAGTAGCAATGGATAAGGGTTTCGATCTTCCCACACCCTTGCCAATGTTTGTTGTTACCTATTTTTTTTTTTTTAATCAGTGCCATTTTAGCTGGAGTATGATGATATATCGTTGTAGTTTTGATATGCATCTCTATAATGGCTAATGATCCTGAATATCTTTTTGTATGCTTGCTGGCTGGTTAGATGTCCTCTTTGGTGAAGGTTCTGTTCATGTCCTTTGCCCATTTTGTGATTGGGTTGTTTGTCTTTTTATCATTGAGTTGTTAGTTTTGTATATATTATAGAGATTAGACCCTTATCAGATAAATTATTTTCGAAGCTTTTTTCCCAGTCTGTTTACTCTTTTAATAAAGTCTTTTGAGGAACATAAGTTTTTAATATTTATGGAGTCCCGTTTATCTATTTTGTCTTCTATTTGTGCATTTGTTGTAATGTTTATTATCCTATTTTTACAAAAGATTAGGTTCCTTCGTTTTCTTCCTATGTTGTCTTCCAGAGATTTTATGGTTTTAGATGTAACATTTAGGTCTTTGATCCATTTGGAGTTAGTTTTTGTGTATGGTGTAAAGTATGGGTTCTGTTAAATTTTTTTGCAGGTGATTATGCAGTTTTGCCAGCACCATTTATTAAAGAGACTGTTTCTGCCCCACTGAGTGGACTTTGAACCTTTGTCAAAATCAGTTGTCCATGGCTGACTAGGTTTGATTCTGGGTTCTCAGTTCTATTCCACTGGTCTATGTGTCTATCGTTGAACCAATACAGGCTGTTTTGATTACAGTGACTGTATAGTATGTTTTGATATTAAGGAGTGTGAGACCTCCTGCTTTGTTCTGTTTCTTCAGTATTGGTTTAGTTATTTGGAGTTTCTTTCCCGTGCATGTGAAGTTGGTCAGTAGCTTTTCCATTTCAGTAAAAAGTCTTGTTGGGATTTGTATCAGGATTGCATTGAATCTGTAGATCACTTTAGGTAAGACTGACATTTTCACTATATTAAGTCTTCCAATCCACAAGCATAGGATGTCTTTCCATTTTTGTCTTTTAGTTTCTTGCAGCAGTGTTTTATAATTTTCATTGTGTAAGTCTTTTATGTCCATGGTTAGGTTAATTCCTAGTTATTTCATTGATTTGAGGTCTACCATAAATGGTATTATTTTCTTGATTTCTATTTGGAGTAGTCTTTGTTAGTGTAGAGGACCCCAACTGATTTTTGTGTGGTAATCTTGTACCCTACAACGTTGCTAAATTCTTCTATTAGTGTCAGCAGCTTTCTTGTGGAATGTTTAGGGTGTTCTGTGTATAGGATCACGTCACGTGCAAATAGAGATGGTTTTACCTCTTCGTTTCCAATTTGGGTACCTTTTATTTCTCATTCTTGTCTTATTACTCAGGCTGGGACTTCAAGTACGGTGTTGAATAAGAGTGGTAATAATGGACAGTCTTGTTTCTTTACCTTCCCAAAGGGAAAGCTTTCAGCCCTTCTTTGTTGAGTATATTGTTGACTACCGTTTTTCATATATGCCCTTAGTTATGTTGAGAAATTTCTCTTCTCTTGCTATCTTGCTGAGAGTTTTTATCAGGAAGGGATGTTGAATTTTATTGAATGACTTTTCTGCATCAATTAATATAATCATATGGTTTTTTTGTTTTGTTTATTTATGTGGTGAATTATATGGATTGATTTTCTGATGTTGAACCACCCTTGTAGACCTGGTATGAATCCCACTTGATCATGACGTATGATTTTTTTCATATGTTGTTGAAGTCTGTTGGCTAGAATTTTGTTCACAATTTTTGCATCTGTGTTCATCACGAATATTGGTCTGTCATTTTCTTTTTTTTTGTATATATTTTCAAGGTTTAGGTATCAGGGTTATGCTGCCTCATAAAAAGAGTTCAGTAGTTTTCCTTCCTCTTCTGTGTTTTTGGAGAGATTGAATAGGATTGGTGTCAGTTCTTCTCTGAACGTTTGGTAGAATTCTCCACCATCTGGTCCTGGCTTTTTTGTTTTATGTTGGCAGTTTTTGATGACGTCTTCTATCTCTTCTTTGGTAATGGATCCATTTAAATTTTCTTCCTCTATTTGTGTTAGGTAGTGTGTTTCGAGGAATTTTTCCATTTCATCTAGGTTTTCAAATTTATTGGGGTATAATTTTTCATAGTATTCAGTTATGACCTTCTTTATCTCTGTTGGATTGGATGTAAGGTCACCAGTTTCATTTCTTAATTTGGTTATTTGCCTCTTCTGCTTTTCTTCTTTTGTCAGTCTAGCCAGTCATTTGTCTATTTTATTGATCCTTTCAAAGAACCACTTCTGGTTTTGTTAATTCTTTCAGTTGTTTTTCTATGTCTATTTTAAATTTCATTTATTTCTGCTGTGACCTGATCATTTCTTGTTTCTGGTAAATTTTGGCTTCTTTTGCTCTTCTTTTTCTATTTGTTCAAGTTGTTGGTTTAAAGTAATGATTTTGGACCTTCTTTTTTAATGTAGACGTTTATTGCTGTAAATGTCCCTTTGAGTAGTGCTTTTATCAAGTCCTAAAGGTTTTAATATGTTGTATTTTCATTTTTGTTTGGTTTTAGGAATTTTTTAAATTTCAGTTTTGATTTCTTCTATGACCAGTGGTTTTTTAGTTGCGTATTATTTACTTTACATGTATTTATTCTTTTTTCCTTATTTATCCTGTTGTTGGTTTCTAGCTTCATACCATTATGGTCAAAGAAGATGCTTCATATAATTAGATTTTTTTAAATTTGTTGACACTTGCTTTATGTCCTAGCATATGATCTGTTCTGGATAATGATCTGTATGTGCTGGAGAAGAATGTATATTGTTCTGATGTTGGGCGGAGTGTTCTGTACATTTCTGTTGGTCCAGTTGGCTTATGGTTTTATTTAAGTTCTCAATGTCCTTAGTGATCTTCTTTTAGATGTTCTGTCTGTAAGTGCAATGGGTATGTTGAAGTCCCTTACTATTATTGTGGAGCTGTCTATTTTTGCTTTCTTATTGGTTGTATTTGTTTAATGTAATTTGGTGCATTGCTGTTAGGTGCATATATATTTATAATTGTTATGTCTTCTTGGTGGATTGACCCTTTTATTTTTATGTAACGTCCTTCTTTATCTCTTGTAATAGATTCTGATTTTAAGTCTATTTTATCTGATTATCAGTGTGGCCACCCCTGCTCTTTTTTGTTTACTGGATGCATGAAATATTTTTTTCCATCCTTTTATTTTCAGTCTGTTTGTGTCCTTATGTCTAAGGTGTGTTTCTTGTAAATAGCAATAGGATGGATCATGGTTTTTTTTTTTTTTCCCCATTCTGCCACTCTTTGCCTTGTGCATGGGGCGTTTAGACTGTTAACATTTAAGTTTATTACTGAAAACGAAGTGTCCACCTCACACATTTTGCTATTTATTTTTTGAGTGATTTGTGTCTTCTTGGTTTTTTTTTTTTAATTCTGATTTTTTTGTTTGTATTTGGGTGCTTTCTTGTGATGAGCCTTTTTGTTAATCTTCTTTCTTGTCTTCTGAATGTTTCTTCTTGGTGATTTCTTATTGTTTACCACATATTTTATGTTACACGACTTACGGTTATAGTGTTTAACATATGAACACAGTTAACATACAACCTTAACGTAGTAAATCTATTCCTGATATGCTCCTCCCTCCCCTCTTCTGTTGATGTGTCTCCATTAGTATCAATATACAACCTATATTCAACAAGTTTACTTTGTGCTTGTTTCTTAATGCTCTTGCCTTTCCATTTGGAGTACTTCTTTGGGTAATACTTGGAAAGCTGGTCTGGTAGTGATAAATTCCCACAGCTTCTGTTTGTTTGGAAGTGTCTTGATTTCCCTTTCATTTTTGTATGATAGCTTTTCTGGATAAAGAGTTCTCGGTTGGTAGTTATTTTGGTTCAGTATCTTACGCATGTCATTCAGTTATTTCTGGCCTCTAGAGTTTTTGGGGAGATAGCCATCCATACCAGTTCTTATGGAATGCCCTTGATATGTTATATTGTATTTTTCTCTGGCTATTTTCAGAATTCTCTCCTTGTATTTGATTTTCAAGACCTTTATTAGGGTACATCATGGAGTTGATCATTTTTTGTCTTTTCTAATTGTTGTTCGTGTAGCATCCTGTATTTGCAGGCTTGGTTCTGTTCAGGTCTGGGAAGTTCTCTTTTTAAAAATTTTTTTATGTGGCTTTATTGTTGTCATGGTGCTCTGGGATTCTAATAATTCTAATGTTATATTTCTTAATTGAATCCCACATTTCCTTTTGGGTTTGTTCGCTTTT